CTGTCAGAAGTATTCACGTTTGTTTCATCCTTACCGTTTACAGGCAAGGCTATTTGTGGGAACTGCAACATGCCTGAATTTTCTCGGTTCCCAATGAAAGCACTTAAGCGATTTGAATGATTAACTGAATGCTCAGAGCTTGCAGCGTTGAATCAACATGTTAACGGCCCAACCATACATTGGGTTTAGTTTTCACCAGCAATCTCATTCCTAATACTGTATATGTAGGAAAAAGGTTCCCAGGTAGCGATCATAATATAGTCATATGCAGCCTTGATATAGAAGCCACAACTATAAAAATAAATCCATTACACTTTGTCGGGACTTACATAGGACTGATTGGGTAAACCTCCGGAATGGCCTCAGAAGCGTTGACTGGACCAACTACTTTACTGCAAACAATACCGATGAAATAATAAATGTAATTTATCACAACATAAATAACACCTATAATAAATTTGCACTCTTAGGATCCTAGAGACCTAGAATTTCTAAAGATATATATACACTAGGTCATATACGAAAACGTCTTCGAAGACATGCTTTCAGACTTCACAACTGTAACGACTTCTCCTCATTAGTAACGATAACTGAAATATGTGTCGAGGAAGAGATAATTGGTACTTAAAAGGCAATTGCACAGATAAAGCGTGCTCTCAAGCTGAATAATGGATCTTCTGAACTCATTAAACTCCTTCGGAATAAACTTAAATGCTCTAAAGTGAAAGGAGGGAGCATATTTATTAAGGACAACCAAGTGTATGAAAACCCCAAAAGTATCACAGAGCTGTTTAGCAAACATTTTCGTGGTACACTGACAAACGAAAACCCAACAAATGAATGACACCTGACATAAATGCCTTCCTGTGTAGTCGCCAGTGCAGACTTCAGTGCGCAGGACATTTCCAAGGCGATTAGTGCAGTGAAACACTCTCACATTGGAGGAGTGGCATCCCAGCCAGCTTGCTGAAAAATAGGAGCATCTATCTGTGTTGTTCTTCCTAAACTATTTACTATGTCACTCTCTACAGAAAGTTACCCTAATACCTGAAAGACTACGCATTAAATTCCCACAATTAAGTTTGGGCCTTCAGCAAATGTAGAAAATTACCGACCCATAAACATCTAGGGTGATGAATAAAGTAGTAAAGGCAAAGTTAATACGGCACCTACTTAATAACAATCTCATATCGATCTCACAGTATGGGTTTGTAGTGGTATGTGTTTAAGAAGATAAGACATTTGCTGAAATGGAAACATTCATTATTCTACTTAATTCTAACAGTAATTGTTATATTGTACTCCTTTTGTTTAACTGTACCAAAGACTATATCCTGCGCGCCAAGCGTGTCATCCCGATTCCGTTTCTCTCCTGGGTGGTTGTATGCCGCTTCTTTATCCCTTCTGTATCATTTCGATATCACCAGGCCTCAGACAAATATACTTCTTCATCCAGAACAGTCTTCTCTGACTTCTGGATCTATTGGGATTTAACTTGGTAACTTCACGAAGGAGAATATGTATCAGCTCACTATAGCTACTTGAGGTCCAGGTCATGCGATACATGCTTGCTAGACTATCTCAACGACATTACTGAGACACAAGTCAGAGGGCTTCTGGTATTAGTCCTATTCTTCAACTGAAAGGTCCCACGCAAAAGGCTTCTCCTTATACTTAAGTCATTCGGGATCAGTAGCCCACTATATTCGTGGTTTGTTTCATTCTAAAGTGGACGTCAACAAATGGTTAAGTACAACAATTGTCTTTCATCGCCAAGATCAATGAACAGTGGGGCCATCCAGGGAAGTGTATTAGGTTCACTCTTGTTTCTCATGTACATAAACGATATATGTAACACTATAAGATTTGGAAGATCATACTTATATGCGGACGATCTGAAAATAGTGTACAGCTATAAGCCTGAAGATCTGGACGAAAATATAGCCAGGATTCAGAGTGGCTTTGACAACTTTTCTACCTGGGGCGAATCATGGCAGCTACCTTTCAATCAAATGTGGCATAATGCATTTTAGTAAGCATCACCATGAAATACCAGTCTACTTATAAAATGTAGTGTTCATAAAGCTCATACCAGTGCATCATCTGGGTACCCGTTACCCCAGAAGCCTTAAATTTGAAGAACATGCCTCTACTTTTATCTTTATATCTACATGGCTATCGGGGTTTAAATATAGGGACTTCTTAATGAATGAGGCCAAGCTTGCACTCTTCAAAATATGTGTAAGGCCCTCACTTGAATACTGTCTACTTAACTTTTCAAACACGAATATCCAAATAAGCTTGACTCGGCAACTCCTAGGACGGAACCTTAAACTCGACAGTATAGAGAGATAGAAGCATCCATCCCTAGAACATCTATGGTGCCGTCGATTGAAAAACAACCTAATACTCCTTCATAAAATAATATATGGCTTCTCGCCCGTGAAATAACCCCCAATTATGAACCACACACAACTTACAGACTTAAAAACAACGCATATACACTACTTATCGCAAAACACAAAAAGTAATTGCGTTGCAATTTCTTCGTAACACGATACAGTCGATTATGAAACAGATTACCAATTACTATCCGTATCTGTAATACAATCACCAGGTTCAAGAAACTAGTGATGCTGTTGTCAGACCCTAAAGATACGTATCAACTATTCTCAGAACTCACACAAAATCCCGAGGCACTCTTTTATGGTCCATCAAATATTTAGATTAACCTTAGAAGCTAATAACAGACCATGAACATATTGTACCCTCATGAACACCCATACAAGTATCACGAAATGATAGACGAGTCCTTCCACTAACAGTAGTATCTTATGCCTTAGAGGTACTACCCTCAACATTCGGAGCTTTCTTAAAATATTATTTAAAATGTACCATTAAACTAAAAACAGCCTGAAAGGAGGGAGGGTTGTATATCTGACCAGCAGTCAGGACGGTGGAGCGATAACCTCAATCTACGTATGTCTGTGGGGCAGAATATTTTGTTTGCTTACGGCTCCTTACGATCTAGAAGGATGTACCTTACCAACGATATTGATGTTACTTTTTCTTGTTAACCACGTTTACGACTCATGTTCGTAGCCTTGAACTGGTTCCACTTCCTATTACAGGAGATCTAGAAAACTACTGTGCAAAAGAGCTAACTCTTGACTTCTTGCGCTACAGAGTTAAAAAGAAAAAAATAAACAAAATATCGCTAAAGCATCTGAACACTATGCTTTGTAGTAGTAAGGATGGTTGCCAAGTTTAAACTCCCAAACGAATTTAAACCAGAAATCCAAAAGTCGCGTGATATCAAAATAATATCACGTGTTCAGCCCAAAGAACACAACTGCACGAAACGATCAATAAAGCCACAGGGTTGGCGAGATTGGCGCTTGAATTATGACTTCAAGTACAGATGAACAAAAGGTGTACAATAAAAAAGTTATTGTTACACATGTTCAATAATAAGTATTTATATGTCAGCAATTATGTTTTCTTCACAAAACAATTCCACTACAGCTTCATGATCATATTCTGTAAATCAACATTATTGCTAACAATTTGGCCCTTCTGAGTCTCCTCTATTCACATGATTAATTGCCCATTCGTTATCTTACTGGTGACTTGTCTTCATTAATCTACATAAGCGTAGATGTGTAGTTAGTGTTCGAATATAAAAAACGTCTGATTAATCATATATTTGTTTTATCCAAAGATATTTTCTATTCTGCTTCTCACCCCTTTCTCTTTATTCCGCTTTTTCAGCACCTTTTTCTAATCCTTAAATATTAGCCTGGATTTTGCCGAAGAATTCGGTACTTTACCCAGAATCCGGTAAATTTATTATCTGGCGAATATCAATAAGATTTTAGCACATTTACCCCATCAATTCTTGTTATACGCAGAACTGGATTTATATTACACTGGTTCTCAGCCATTAGTGGTTCGTCATAACATAACCGTTATAACTCGCGTCAGCTATCGAAATATACATTTCAGAGTTTGAAACGGCATCTATAGTTTTATGTGGAAAATGTTAGCCTTCTATATGAAGCAAATGTATCTCATGAAACATTCAAGTAACTGAACAACCTTTTACAGAAAATATGTTGGTATGGCCCTTGTAACTTGTTGTTATTTAAGAATAAATTATTATTATAATGGAATATATCTGCTGGAGATTTCGTGGTATCGAAGGAATACCGAAATTGTGCAATAAAAGAGGATCAAAGTTACAGTGGGTAGTATAACCAAAGTGAAAGCAATACAAACAGAAAGTTCGTGCGTACAAGTAGTAATAAGCAAAGAAGTTCAGTAAAACAATCACTGGTACAACTGGTTATAATAATGTATGTTGCTATTTAACCAATCGCGTTCCCTTCACAAAAGTAGATCAAAACAAAATATTCCAAGATGAGCGAACAGATCAGTTCAGGGACTCACATTCGTGCCTAACGAATAGTATCTCAAATCTCTGGATCTTTGCACATTATTGCATAAGCGTCTCGCAGGTGAGCTTCTTGTAATTTACAGTATCCTGAACACTCCTCAGAATCGCCTAAAATATTTACTTGAGCTCAGTCCCGACACTAACTTTCAGGGCATTTCTCAAAATTTGTAGGCGCAACATAATAAAACAAACTACATGCTCTCTGGTATCGGCTGAGATAGTTCGAGGAAATTTCCAGGAGTCATTCAAAAAGAAAATTGACCTATTCTTGAGGATGGGCAGAAGTATATTCTAGTGTTAACGGTTAGCAGAGGTACGAGGCCGAACCACTCGTCCATAGCATGAAGTTGACTTATGCGTGTCGACCATTCTGACATTTACGGAAATCGGCTAAATTTTCGACCGAAGATATGAAAATTCAGAATACTTTTGCGATCAAGCGTAAATCTGCTCGTCGAATTATTCATATTACTGGGTGAAACCGCTGAAGAACCAGTCATTTGAAATGCTCAATTTTTTTTGAACTTCGTTCCTCATGGTGGGATAAAAGTTGGCGGCTAATTTGTCAGTTGTGCTGTATATTAGTTGATAATGATTGGCGTAAGCAATATCACCAACAGGACAGATCCAAACAGTCTCAAGTCCCGTGTTTTTGTTGGGAATCTTAACACAGTGCACATGTCAAAGACAGAACTCGAGTCAATCTTCTCAAAATATGGAGCAGTCGTGGGAATATCGGTGCACAAAGGATACGCGTTCATTCAATATGCAAATGAGACTAATGCGCGAGCCGCAGTTATTGGAGAAGATTCAAAAACGTATTATAACATGGTTTTAGGTAAGGTTTTTTTAATTGGGGTATTTTCATCGTTGAAGGTACCCAGTAATAACCATAACTTTTCCACCTGTTTTAAAAATTTTTCACCTTATTGATAGGCCTTATCATCAATAATCACATCTTGTATTATTTTTTTATAACAGATGTCACTATAGCATCCGAACCGAAAAATCGCAAGCGGGGGAGATCAAATATTACCTCGTCACTTCCTGCCTGGTAACTCACTTTCCCAATAAAACTGTTAATTCTCCATTTTTTAGGAACCCCTTGACAAGGTATGTTTCAGTTTGGTCTTCCGATTCATGAGTCCCTGGCCCTCCGTTAGAAGTTTGCTTCAAGTTGTTGATTGAGCTTGTTTTATTCAGAGTTAACCTAATATTATTTTGGTATGGTTTATACAGTTCCTTATCGACAAGTTGATCTAAATAACATACTGCCTCTGTCGACTTGTCTACAACTAGAATTGTTCTCTCATAAAGTTGGAAATAATACTAGGCAAGCTACACTTCGGCTGCCCAGGATTTCCAGTCAACCTGAATGACAAATTGATGTTAGTCATCCGACTCTTTGACGTTGAGTTAGCTATAGCAAATCTGAAGCGATGGAGAGCAGCGGGTCTTGATAGGTTAACTCCCAAAAACATTTAAGTATGATGGCCCAGTTTTAGCATTTAAATTGACTGAGATGTTAGGTAACATTTGGAAACTGGCCGTAATCCTGAGTGATCTCAGTCTTTGATTATCCCGTTGACAATCACAGAGAAATCAGTTTCACTAATATAGTATCTACATTTTTAGCCTCAATGATAATTAGACTCCTAACTAGTGTTTCTGAAGAGTAGATGTATAGACCATATATTCACACTACTACAGGTCCTAGAGCACACAAATTTTGGCATCCGACAATAGTTATCCTCCTGAACCATAAGGCGGCACTTTACTCTGTCGATCGTGAGGTTCTATGGAAGTCTATCGTTGAAAGATGTACCAAAGAAGCACGTTAACCTTATACAGGCTATCTACTCGAACACCACTGGTCAAGTTACAGCTTATGGCGAACTGTCAAGTCGTGTGCATTCATTCTCTGTGTTCTCTTAAATCTTAACCTTTTTCTTTTTAAGTTTATTTCACTAGATTCTACTTCTTCAATAATATCTTCTAACCCTAATCTCTCCGATTACTGCTAATACCTCTACTACTGTGAGGTTTGAATTGACAATTGCGTCTTTGTACTAATGTTATGGTAACTGGAACTAGTGTACGTACGTACGAAGTTCTATGTTGTAACTGTCTGACCAAAAATCAGGCAAATCTGCCTGATCCTGTCTCGAATGTAGTGTAATTAGTAGAAGATTTTCTACTGCCTTCACTGAATCCGTTTCACTCCGAAATTCATCCGTTTAGAGTACCGAGAATACCCTGCAACCACGTGCATAGATCAACGAAAGTTGGAAATTAACCAAAATAGTTTGGTATATATCTATACTAACCCAATGCTTCTGCGGCTTTTCGTCATTGCCACGTCGGAGCATAAAGACATCCTGATTGAGGTCTGCAGGTACATTCTAAATTATTATTCAGTAATTTAAGTAACACTGATGTTAGTCTATTAAAGTAATTGGTTAAGAATGGAAAGTAGTCCACGTAGTCCCGTAAACCCATTTCTTAACTGTTATTGATAGGCTCCAATAGTCTTTAAACATATAATCAGTCTCTACCTCAAAGGTGTATCCATATTCTCCTCCTAGAAAAATAAAGATATTGTCTCATGAATAGGTAGGCCTTCTGGAACTTTCTACGCTTAGTGGAAACGATCGTATACTTAAAATGTTCATGCTGCGGAAAAGAATGTTGAAACCTGAAATTGATATTAAAGTTTTCCATAATCTATTCAAACTTTGTTTCGATTGCATTTTTAGTACTAACCTTTCAGAACTTGCCTTACAAGCTCAAGCCCTAAGTAGTTTAACTGGAAATTCGGTCCTATCACTGCAGCAGTTTGGTCTGGAAGGCATTATGGGCCAGCCTAACCTCGTTAATTTTGCTGCTGCGGCAAATTCAGTTTTCCATACTCCCTCATTGTCCGCATTAAACGTTTCTACTGCCCAAACATCAGTCACGACGGGTAATATACGAAATAAGTATACTAGATCATCAAACTCAACAACAACTACGTCCTCAACAACTCCCAACTCTCTTGCTGCCAAACGTACTCGTCTGGATGGAATGCTAGGTAACACTGGTAATCATAATTCTTTGCCTGCCGGCGCTAGAGGACAGAATTTAGTCTCACTTGTTTCTGCAACAGATAGTCTTATACCTCCAGCGAATCGCCGTCAAACACCAAACGCTGGTCCTGTTCGTTCTATGCCTGAACAATCAACCAATAACTCTTTAGTACGTAATCGAATTGTCACATCCACTTCCTCTCGCACCACAAATACATCCACGACCAATTCAAGTCAAAATTCACAACAAGCAGAAAAAAATTCTGACGGACATCTAAATCGCTCACAAAATCTAGGTCATTCCTTTGAATCTGACCGTCTCCCTGTTCAGCAGCCAAATCGTCCAGCCTTGTCAACAAAAAGTAACAGTCCTCGTTCAAGTAAGTTATCTCATAAATATTGGGTCAAGTCACAGGCATTTGATAACCTTAATTCTTGCTTAGTTATTTAAGAATTGAGTAGTTTTTAACCAAATCCGGTGTTCATGTTAACCTAGTTTTTCTCATAGACTGTTTGGTGTTGAAAAACTCGGAATTTAGAAGATCGGTTTATTTTTTAATGGAAATGCATTCCTCTCTCTAGGATGAAAGTAAAATATTCTTTCAATTTACCAATCACTCCATACATACAAATACATTTCCATGCTAGCACTCAAGAACACCTTGGAAATTAATGAATTCAGTAATTTTAGAATAAAATGCTACACATATGTAATCACCTGTAATGAGTGCATATTATCGAATACGTCTGTATTAATTTAACTCGATACCAAAATGAAGAAAACCTACCAAAGTACAATTGGTACATCATTCATTTCAGTAAAATAATCGAATTTTCGAAAACGAATCCGTTTACGAAGTATGAATGCCATAAATATTTAGTTACGAAGTAACCATAGCTTACTATAGATTGAAATGAAATAAGGAAATCATTGGAAATTTCTATCATTTGGTGTTTTTTTGGACAGATTACAATTTCTAATCATCAGAACACATTTTTATACAATGTCTAAATCGTATTATTTGAAAATACACATAAATCTGTATCTCTCATGGATTATCTATCTATACATGAATACAGAACAACTATTCAGACTAATAATTTTATACACTTGGTAAAGAAAAAACTTTTCTCGTTTTACGTATTCTTATTCTAGGTGTTCATTCACATTCAGAGGATATTCTAATATGTGGACGTTGTCGTCGTTTATTTGAACAAGTTGATGAACTTATTTCACATAAAATGGCTGGTTGCAGTTTAGACAAAGATAATGGAACTGGTTGTCGTTGTCGAGCTGGTAAGTATAAGGTTACAGTCAACTTATCATGCATATTAGTCAGTCAGTTACAACATAGAACTTCGTAAGTACGTACGTACATCAGTTCAAGTTGCCATAACACATTAGCACAGAGATGCAATTTTCACTTCAAACCCCACAGTAGTAGAGGTAGTAGAAGTATTAACAATAATCGGGTAGATTAGGGTTCGAAGATATTATTCAGGAAGTAGAATCTAGTGAAATAAACTTGAAAACAAAGAGATAAAATGATGCGGAACTCTGAAGGTTAGGATTTGAGAAAAGCCAAATAGTGAATGCACCTGCGCCATTGCAAACGGTTTTGACCCACGTCATTCAAGGTCCCTAACCATCGGTTACTATCATCTCGCAGACTCCAACCACGTAGTCGACACCTACCAACATGACTCAATCCTACATATACCTAGGTATGTACAATATAAATGTTTCACGTAGTTTTCACTGGTCATGATTTGCAATGAACTCGCATGATAATAATTACTTATCTTCAGATTTATCCTTTATTAATTATAGTCAGTTTGTCCATAATAATAATAATCAATCAACAATATCGCCAAAATTTCTCATCCAAATTCTTTTCAGCCTGTTCTCATTCATTTCAGTCAAAAGTTTCTATCAATTGTCGTGTTTATCACTGAATCGCAAGTTCATTAGATTTGAAAGATTGCCTGTCTTTTTAGATTTTAGAATTCAAGTTCTTCTATCTCAAATTCACACATTGATCACAAGCCCATTTTCTAACATTATTAATCCGATAACGTTTGTTAAATTCTGCCCGAGTATGTTGTAGATAGTAATTAAATCACCTCTTAACTGTTACAGTTTATGAGTATTCTGTAATTCTCTTTTCTAATTTCATTTCCAGTTTTGCGAATCTCACCACTTTTCTCCCCTCTAGTCGGAGTTGGACATAGTCGAAATCTAATGTGTAGTATAATTAATTGACTTGTAACCAACTAAATTTTCCCTAATACACTAAAACTAGGAAATGTTATCAAATTCTAAACAGCTTTAATACTACTAGGAATTAATCAGTTCATCTCCATACTTTGGAGGATTTGATCTGAGTGAACAAGGTTTGCTATTATTAAAACAAGTGAAAGAAACATCGATTGATGTGCCTCATACAATAATACGAAATGACTGATTGATGATTGCTCATGTGACCGAATTATTGACGCAAGCTCCAATCAAACTAGCATCAGGTGATAAGACCGCTCCCCAGTAGAATAGATTTTGCTTCAGACAAAGCAACATGCTTATTCACATACTAATAAACACAAGAGTAAATACGATCAGTAGTTATTTAACAAATAAACGATTAAAAAATAGAGCAACTATAGACTATTCACTGTCTAGTAGAATAAATGCCTATCAGGCCTAATCATTACCTCGTTAAATCAATGTAAAGTCTATTCATATTTGTATGTGTTTAGTTTGGCATTTTTGTTTGTATGTTTAAATCAAAACGCAACAGTAAATGACTCTTCAGAAAAAAGCCTTTATTGTATTTATTTATTCCATGACTGCAGTCAAAATATTGTCAATGGATGTGTATGAACAGATTTTATTCGGTACCAGTATATGTCATTTATTTCTATTAACATATCCAGTTGGTTAAACCGCATTCAACCGACTACTAACTATAAATCCTTGGGGGGATTTATTACCTTTCTTGTTTTAATCTATGTTAAAATGAGTTTCTTTGAAGAAAAACTGCTTGAATGTGACCATGTTTCCCTCTTTTTTTTTCTAGTTGGTGAGCCAGAAAATTTAGATTGTGCATATTGTGGTGCGAGCTTTTCGACTGCTTGGGGATTGATGCATCATTGCCACAGTGATCATTTCCTGACTATATATGCTCTTCCGTCGCCTCCCCCATCTCCTTCTGCGTCGTCCAATTCTCCTACTTCTGAACGTTCGTCAGTAGTTTCTCGCCGATCTGCTGATAACGGTGATAGTTTGTCTGAAAAATCTATGGGTTCAAATTCTCATTCAGATAAATCAAATCATACAGGTAAGCAAGCGACATCACTTGTGAAGCAAAATGTAAAACGTGAACATCCTACCTTCGAAAACCGCCATTCTTCCAGTTCACGTAGTGTTGAAGAAAATTGTGGAAACAGCGACTGGGATGCAGAGGAGGATAACGAGAATAATGATCATAGTGGAGGTGGTACTCCGACAATGGAATCAGTACATAATGGAAAATTTAGCCCATCGGACATGCCAAGAGATCATTCATGTGATCAGTCAGATACCAGATCTACATCTGGTGCTTCAGATTCCGAAATATCAAGTGAAATTCGTAACAAGCGGTTGCTCAAATCACGGTCTCCACCCTGTCCTCGAAGAAGTCGAGGTAGTGAATATGGTCGTCATGAGACTGTAGATGACGATGATTATGCTGATGACGATTCAGAATCTGGTAATATAAAAATTGAATAATTACTCAGGTATGTAGTGCCATATGTTTCACCCATGGTTTTTTCATGGTTTTCGTTCACACTGCTGATGAATACATTCCCAGTATTTACAAATAACTGAAATCAAATGAAGCGACTAAAGCTGGAAATGTGTTGATGCACGTAAAAACTTTCATTTTGGAGAGTTTATATCCTAGTCTTTGTACACTTAAATAAGTGCTAATGAGGTATGGCAACCTGGACTTATATACTCATGTACGAAGTTCTACGTTGTAACTGACTGAGGGTAAATCATTATAAGTTTTAGAAATATCCACTGAAAGGTGGAGTCTAATTACGTAGCTAAAATTCGTTCATCTTTTGCGGAATATACGACAATTTTTTTTGTATTGTAACCCAATTCTAGACTCTCAGATCAATTAAAACGACGAGATAAACAATATCAAGTTTATGCGAACATAATTTTCTTTGATACCTATTCTCTTGAAAAATACAATTTGTTTTATAGTAAAATCAGAAACAGAACAACTAACCATACTCATTTTTTAAAAGCCTAGTCAATAATACTACCATTCAGTAGTTTAATAGTTTAGCGTAAATATAAAAATAAAGTTAAGTATCATCACATCCTAACTTCTGTTCTTAATAAAATATCAAAAAGCTGACCGACAATTTATCATCTTAAATTGTCTACAAATTTAAAATAGTAAGTTGTTGAGTGATACTCTACTCTCCAAAAACTTTCGTATTGAATATTAAAAGTAAAGTAAATTTAGTTAGTTGTGTATCAGTTAAATTTAAGACTATCAACTCTAATAACTTTTTTCCCAAAGCTAGTGGCGTTAAATTTCAACATTTCAATTTGTCTTGATTACTGATTTCAAACATTGTTTTTCTAAGTAAATTGTTTAAATCCAATGTTAAATAATGATTACAGAGACTCTAGAACGTGTGAGAGTGAGGGGAGTCCACTCTCCCTCTCGAAATACTCTCATGCGACGACGCGTGTATAGCCACTGTCTGGGAAGTTTTACCCACACTGCCTTGTGACTGGGATGTTGTTTACGAAATCGCGAGGACGAAAAGAGACGGTCCGGTGCGGGTACATAGGATCCACCTGAGAGGGTTGGGAAACTGGTTTCAAACTAATGGTGTTGTTGAAAGCCAGTTAAACTGCTCCCTGAAGTGTTCTACCCATCGGCCCAATGTCATGGATTCAGAGTAAATAATAGTCCCGGTTTTTCTCCATTATTTTCTACTGTTACCCATCGCTGCTGCCTTTTCCATCCGTTTTCCTCTCGTTACCCACCACTAGCGATCATTGTGTAGGCTTTCTATCAGCCCGTTTAAGCTGCCTCTACTCCTCATCATGATCAGAGCCAGACAGGATGGGTCTCCAACTATTTATTAATTCGTTAGATGAAATCTACTGATTTTTCTTCACCTTTTGGTGTAATTTACTGGTGGGTGTCACTACTATCTCCACAGATTTTTGGATATTATTCTAAACCAATCGGTTTCCCAGTTGTTTCTAAAATGTATTTTAGACTTTTTACCATCAATTTGAACTTTAAGGATTTTTTTGTTGTGGTTTTTATACATCCAGTAAGATGCAAAGAAATACGTGCTCGTACCAGAGCATAGTCTATGTTTAAACATGTGTTTCAGAATGGGCGACAGTCTTGTATCGAGCTTCTTCAACAACAAAAGCTGGTTGTGATGTGGTGTATTTGAGTCGAGTGTGGGGATCTCCATTTCAAAAGATGTCTTTCTTTATGCGTATAGTTGATACGTACTAAAAATAGACTTATCTGAGTATAGTTGCAGTAAACGGTTGCCATTATCTGTTCGCTGAACTACGACACCGTAAGATATGCCTGGGTGACTTCCGATTTGGCTTACTTTACTTATCAGAACATCAAAATCATCAGCCATAATTACTACATCAAAACGTTTAGCTTTTTGAAGGGGGTTGGATAGGTTCTTATTTAATTCCTCTTTGACTTCATCAGAGCTGTAATCAATAAGAGCATAGGCAGAGACAGCGAATAGGCAACGGCGAGTGTCCCTGTCTTTCAGAGTTCTTACTGTCTTGTTCATTTGGACAGCTCACAAGCGTCTGTCTACTAGAGTCCAGCCTAGAATAGCTAGTTCTGTCTTTGAGCTTAAGTTTATGCCTACACCAGCAAGGCCACGGGTAGTGGCAGTTGTCCTTCGGATACACAGAGCGTAAATCGCATTGGTTCTTTATATTGACAAGATAAGGTCAAGTGAATAAATTTACTTGGATTCTGTATGTGCGTTTCGGAAACACAACATGCATCAATAGTGCGAGATTCTAGAGCCTTAGCTAAGAAAGCCTGTTGTATTATTCAGCACGATGTTCGAACATTAAAAATCCAACATATAGTTTAGTGCGTGATTTCAGGAGACTAGGAATAATATTTTGAGAATCCGAACCACTAGCATTAGCGACTCTATGTTGTGAAGATACGCCGGAAGAATTAGCCTTGGGAATAAGAGAGTTGTTAAGAGGTCAGAAAGGGATTTGATCATCAACAAAATGATCTCATGTGTTGTCAGGAATATAAAGGTGGTTATTACTTCGCAGCTGTCCACACTGTGAAAGGATATTTCTTCTTAAGGGACCCGAAAAGGCAACTAGATTTATGTTGGTCTTAGTAACCTGGAATAGGGACCTCAGAGCCAAACGTTGGTAAGTTTCAACAATCGGGGACTTATCGTCGTTTTCCCCCTTCCCGTTAGTGTTAATGGGTAGTATGTGTATAGTATAATTTTATGAAATGCTTCTATCAGCTAATTAGAGAATCTCTACTTCGATCAAGGTAAGTTAATTAACAAATTATCAACTAACCTCATTATCATATTTTTTTAATACAATTCTCCTATCAAATAACATGAATTCTAAACATTATTGACATTTCAATGTGTGATATAGTTATTTGTCTAACAGTTGACAAATAACTTACTTCTTGTATATTGAATTGACTATAAAAATAACTATTTAGTTTTTTTTTATTTCTGAAAGTTTTTTTATGATTTTTACTGTCTACACTCATTATCCCATTATTATTTTCTAAAATATGAATGTGAACTGAAATGTAGGATTATTTTTCATTTTATTTTTTTATCCATCCTGTCTATCCCCCGTCAGTAGATTATTGTAATTAACATGTATGCTTTTATTTTTGTTCAACTGTTTTTTTTTAAAAATCAGTTTTAAATATATTTTTTTGTATGACTACTATCAAAAACAATCAATGAACAGTGTGTTCAATGCACAATCAAATTCACAAATATATATATTTAAATCTTGTTACGTTCACAATTGAAACATTTGATTCCATTAAACTGAAAAAGTGGATAATACCACTTATATTACTCTGTGAATGCCTTAAGTATAGAGTGCTAAATATTTAGCATGATTCTACTCTGACTATCAGCTTTAACGTATAGATTTGATGTTATATATATGTAGATATTTAAAATCATGATCACGATCAATATTAAACCATCATTAGAAACCTAGAAGCACTGGACAGCCGTTTCTCCTGGTAGAGGACTCATCATCAACTGCTGCACCTTGCAGGACTCGAACCCAGGACCTGCGGTCTTACGAGCGAACTCCTAACCTCAGTATATATGTAGATTTACCATGAATAACTTGTATTTTATTAGTAGTATGTTAAAGAAAAAAAACCATGATTAGAAAAAAATTGCTAGTGACCCTTCTGTATAATAAATTATTAAAAATTATCTAACATTTTTTTAGTTTAATTGAGTGAAGCTAATCGATGCTTCTGCATAGAATAGCCCAACTTGCCTGTATATTTTAGCATTGTCATTAGATGTGTACTTTATTCCTCTTACATATGATAAAGAGGCTTTATATTATTTATGTTAGATTTTAGTAAACTTATGCCATTTTCAACCAAATATTATAATAACGAATTGACTAGTCTTTTATCCTGTAGATAAGATGTCAATTTTTTCCATCACTCCCAAAATGCAAGTAATTATTCGCCATTGGCATCTTTACATTCGGCACTGATAATGCTCGTGCTAATTAACCCTATCACATAAAGAAAATGCACTGTGCTAATTGGAAAACAAGTTCATTTTGTTCACTAATACTATTCTGCCATAAGGAATTTAAATATAACTAATTGGTTTAATGATTAGCGCTGTTGATTTTTTAAGTTTTCGGAAAAAAAACATCCGTAAAATTAAAATGGTAAACAATTAAGTTTATGATCGCTAATTAACAGATCTTCGTTATTCAATTTACAGGCTCTACATAACCCTAACTTTAAAAGCTTAATTTTCATTGCGTATGTTATTACAGTATAATTGAACTACACACTAAGCAAAGATTCTTTTTTAAACCATTAAAATAAGAAGTATTCTCTTGAACCAACCTAATGACAATGATTTTGAAAAAGTTTAAAAAATTCTGACCACATTATGACAAGTGCACAAATTCGAACTTAGTTGTACATAATGAACATTCTCAGTTAGTGTATTCTTTTCTCTCTGTGTTATACTCTTTTTTCCATATATGTGTTCAATCATTATAGTTTTTATTCCATTTTGTGATTATATTGGTCACTTTATTCTCCATCGTTGTCATGTACACTTCGTTCATGTCTTAACTCTATAGTAGTCCCTTATTGTGTTTTAATAGATAACTGATTAAGAATTCAGTTTTCACTGACCGTCATCTGGTGGTAGTAGTTATAGTAGTGATACACGGTCAAATTAGCTATTTTCTACTACATACTTCTTATTTTGATACCTCGCCTATGGTGTATTGTTAACAAGTAACTGTCGGATTAGATTTGAAAAATTTCCATTACTCTAATAAGAACACATGTATATATCGTCCTATTTTTTTCCAAATTTTTGATATACATATTCTTGATCAAATTTTCACGATCACACAACCATTTGCAGGCGGAGAGGAGGAATTTTTCCATCTTAATGTGGACTCGATAGTTGATATAGTGTTGCAATATATTTTTAAAAAGAATCATTTTGCATTGAATCTCACCAATAAAAAATAACCGGACATTAAATGAGTTCTTGTTTATTGAAAATCTTTCAAGAAAATTATAATTATGCATGTTAATGCATTTCCTAAGCTTTTTCCCACTGATAAAATGTTACCGAATTCATGTAACAAAATAAGTTCCATGTTAATTTTAATTATTGTTTCGTTAATTTAAACAATCTAATATTTTTTTTATTCAAATGTTTAACAAATATTCTTTGAATACTTCCTATTGACAATATACAATAAAAATTGTATATTGATCATCGTTTGAAATACATATTGTTGTCAATAGAAATATTGTCGTTTCTGAACAATACCATAAGATAACATCATTAAATATTTTATATACGAACGATAATATACATTGCCTACTTTTATGTTGTGTCACTAACGTTTTTGGAATTCAATCATTTTTGTTTCAGTTCATGTGTATATGAGCAATGATTTTGATTTTTCACGTATATTTATTTATGCTAGACTCTATTTTGACTAAACTGATTATGTTCTAATCGAAATCGCTACAGTTACATTGTATAAGTTTCTTTTCCTCACAAAGAACAACCATCCATTTAATCATCCACTGCTGTTCTCTTTTTTTTTTCCTTCTACTTTTTGAAACAAAGTCAATTTTTTTCATAATTTTGCTTTTTTTGTAGACCTCATGCCATCTTCCATCACAAAAAAAAAAAAACAAGAACAAGCATATATTTGAAATTTGGTTCTACAACACTTATTCAATTTTCATCCAATTCATTCATTAAGTCATTTTACTCGTAATCTATGTATGTGTATGTGTGTGCGTACACGCTGCGTTATTATCTCTTCACCGATACTAGCCTAGTGGCGAATGTGTGAATCCCGTCGTCAGTTGTGGTGTGAATATTGTTTCTTTATGCATCCATGTGTCTGTCTATCTGTCTGTCTCTCTCTCTCTCTGCCTACTGCCTATTCACTGTTTATCATTTCTTCTGTAAACTTAACATTTCCTTACTGAGAATAGTAAATTGTGATCAAGAAAGGAAAGATTAATAAAATATTCGCAAATGTAGTTGGTCGTCTATTATTGACAATTTTTTTTTTTCAAATTGTTTTATTTTCTTTGCTTTATAAAATTATGTTTTGCTGTCATATATACTCTGTGTACTGTTATTGCTATAATAATAATTATTATTATTAGTGTAACACTTTCATGTCACACAATCAAACTGTTATGAATAAAATCTCTATGATAATAACTTATTTGCACTATATGATGCACGCTGTGTTTCTTCTGTCCCTTATATATATAATATATATATACATGTATGTGGTTATCCTTTTTCACTGTTTCATCATCATCGATCATCTTTTAATGTTACAATAGACGGTTAAAAAAATAAGTAAAATAAAATAAATTTTAACCGCTCACTATACATCTTCATTGTTTGTGATCTTGTTTCGTTTTTTTTATTTTATTTTATTTTACAAACTACCACTATCACCAATCTATCGATTTGTTGTTGTTACATTGACCATTCTCATAGTTGTTGTTAGTAAGTAGTCAGTCAGTCAGTCAGTAAATGAGTGAACTTCATGTTCATTGACAACTTTTGTTTTGGAATTTACTTACTGGTTCGTGGATTAGTTTGTTTTTTTTTTGTTGTTGTTACTTTTACGGGACGTTGTGCTACAACAATTTTTCTAAATTTTATGTATGCATAGTCAAAATAATTTATATTCATCCTCTAAGTAGTGGTGGCATTTATATCCCCTCGTAATCTTCGATATTTCATTTGAAGTTATTTTATCTGAAGTACCTATCGATTGTTCACAACAAAAAAGTAAACATACAATGGTTTCAATCTCTACAGAGAGCCTTCAGGTTTCCTTTCGTCTATTAGTCTTACATACTGAAGATATCATTCACTGTAGGTTTTTTTCTCACGAACTTGAAGTGTTGTAAAGTGTTCATTGTCACTTATTCTTGTATATATATATATATATATACCTTGTTTTGAAAAGTTGAAAGATGATATTCGCCTAGTATTGATCATTTGCTCTTCATCATAGTTCAGAGAATATATGTGTGTTTTTTCACATAATAGCAACAAATGTCTATGAGTTATATAACCACCCGGTTATTCTACATTCTTCGGTCTTTGATGTTTTTTTCTTTACTAAATCTCCTTCATTGTTTACACTTTAGAGGAAGTCTCTTTTCTCGTCAAGTTTTTATCAGTGTAGGTTTATTTTTTGGAGAAATTCAAATTTGACAAACGAACGATATTTGCTTGTTCTGCTCTTTTAAAACTTTCATTACTTTTTTTTTGCTGTGACATTACATTAAAAAGAAAAGCAACTACAATTAGTTTTATAATTTCGAAACTTATTTTTTAGGTAAAATTGACACAACACAATAAATGCTTAACGTTTACAAGTAAATACAGGCTATAAGTTATATATGAAATCACTAATATAATACATAGTATTGTGAAGAGTGATTAGTTTTTTTAACGGAAATAGAAAAATAAAACTTATCGAAAAAGCAATTCACACCTAGAGTACTCAAATTTTCCATGTGTTGTAACTAATAGCTACTTATCTTAGCTTCAGTTATTGAGTCTACTACGTAGTGTCAGTGGCTGATTGATGCTTATATTTGATAGAATGTATGTATATATATATATATATATATTCTCCTAATATCATGAGTTTAGTCATTCTCCACTAACTAAAATACAAGCATTAGATCCCAGCTTTTTGTTCTTTGAAGCAATGCTTCCTTCTAGTTCCTGTCTTTTCACTTAACCATTAAGACTTTCTGATTGTGACTATACTAGCCATAAAAATGAACAGAGAAAAATCAGATATATTAAGCCGTACTTCTCATTCTATTCATAATTAACTGTATCATTTCAATATTATTTAGGATGTACGTCAAAAAATAAATCCTAAATGCACTCTCATTCATCTCGCAAACTGTGGAATTCTTACAACAGGTGGCCTTTTTCTGTACAACCCACTCTAGTATTTTACAGTTTATGTAACTTGAATACCCATTGAAATGCCTAAAATTATTTCCTATTCGATATAAATAGTGACAAATCTAAGTAAATTAAATCGAACAGCTCATAAAGCGATGAGATAAATGTTTTTGTCTTTTTTTGTGTGATTAAGTTCTTGCATAAAAACGGCGCATTTAAGAGCATAATTTGTGTATTTAAACATGATTCTAGTTAGTTGAAATATATTTGTATCAGCCTGAGCGAATTCCCTTGAGGGCTCAAACCAAACCGATATTTTAACTGTTTCCCTGATCGTTCTTTGTAAGCAATAATCAGCTAACTGGCTGGGAATATCAACTGTTGAATTTATCCTTCTGTTTTCTTCTTTGAATGGATCTGTGTCCCTAACTAAACAATCCTAACTGATACATTTGAAACAAATGCAAGAGAAGACGACCAGTGTAACAGCAGGTCTCAACATACATAAAGGAAAAAGCGAAATTCTCCGATTCAACACAACATGCACCAACCAAATCACTCTTGATGGAGATGTCTTGGAGGACGTTAACACCTTTACATACCTGGGCAGCATCATCGACAATCAAGGTGGATCGTATGCAGATGTGAGGGCGCGGATTGGCAAAGCAAGGGCTGCATTTCTACAGTTGAAAAATATCTGGAACTCCAAACAACTTTCAACCAAAACCAAAATCAGGATTTTCAATACAAATGTCAAGACAGTTCTACTGTATGGAGCGGAAACTTGAAGAGCTACCAAAGCCATCATCCATAAGATACAAGTATTTATGAACAGTTGTCCACGCAAAATACTTCGTATTCGTTGACCAGACACGATCAGCAACAACGAACTGTGGGAGAGAACAAACCAGATTCCAATGGAGGAGGAAATCAGGAAGGAGCGGTGGAAGTGGATAGGACACACATTATGAAAAGCACCTAACTGCGTCACAAGACTAGCCCTCACTTTGAACCCTCAAGGTGAAGGGAAAAGAGGAAGGCCATGGAACACATTACGCCGAGAAATAGAGAAATACATGAGAAGAATGAACAAAAATTGAACTTAACTGTAGAGGGTAGTCCAGGACAGAGTCTGTTGGAGAAAACTGGTGAGCGGCCTATGCTCCATTGGGGGTAACAGGAGAAAGTAAGTAAGTACATTTGAAACGGGTTTTTCGTGTTTAGATTGTAACAACTGAACCCATCGAAGAAGCACCTATAGACCTCCTGATTGATGTTGACCCACCAACAATTGAAGAAATCAGACAAACCAAGAGTGGTAAAGCAGAAGGACCGCACAGCATATTAACTGTTACTTAGTCCAGCTATAACGTAGAACTTGGTTCGTAGGTACAGCAGTTCAAGTTGCCATAACAGAGAGATCGAATCCCATAGTAGTAGAAGTATTAGCTGTAATCGAAAAGGTTAGAGTTAACAAGGTCATATAGAATTCAGATTAGAATTTGACAGTAGACAAAAAAATGGATGCATCTGCGCCACTGCAAACGATTTTGTGCAACATCGTTCAAAGTCTAGCCATTGGTTACTAGTGTCTCATAGACCTTAACCAGGTGGTAGTCTGTATATACTAACATTGCTCAACTGAGGTACATATCAGTGGAGGCACTGAAAGCAGACACAGAAGTAACTGCGAATATGTTCCATTCTCTGTTCAGCAAGATTTGGGCGGAAGAATAAGTACCAACAGATTTGAAAGAAGGAAAATTCATCAAGATACCAGAGAAAGTATATCTCACTTTAGGGATTACAGAAGCATCGATCTTCTATCACTACCAGGAATAGACTTCAGGAGTGTTTTTAAACCAGATGAAAGACTCCATAGATCAGCAGGCTGGATTCCATAAAGATCGATCATATACTGGTCAAATCGGGACGCTACTGATCATTGTGGAATAATCTATCGAATAGAATTCATCACTGTATATCAACTTAATTGACTACGAGAAAGCACTTGACAACATGGACAGGATGACACTGGAGGCTTCTTCAACATCATACGGGATTCTTATGATGAACTAATCTGCAAAACTGTTTATAGAGAGCAGCTCACAAACGCTCCAAGTGAGGAACGGTGCCAGACAGGTTTGCTTACTCACCCTTTCTCTTGGTGGTTGATTGGATTATGAAGACGTCAATATGTGAGGGGAATTAATTAATACAGAGGACAGCTGGACGATCTGAACATCGCAGATGACCTGACTCTTCTATCCCACACACAATAACAAATGTAGAAGACAAATAATTTGGCAACAGTCCCCGCAGCAGTAGACCCAAACATACACAGGGAAAAAGGCTCGACACAACGTGCACCGACCAAATCATACTTCACGGAGAAGCTTTGGACAATGTAAGAACCTTAACATATCTGGGCAGCATAATTGATGAGCAAGATGGATCTGATGCAACTGCGAAGGCGCAGATCGGCAAAGTAAGGGCAGTATTTCTACAATTGAAGAATGTCTGGAACTCACAACGACTATCGACAAACACGAAATTCAGGATTTTAAATACAAATATCAAGACAGTTTTACTGTATAGAGCGGAAATTTGGAGAACCACCAAAGCCATCATCCACACGCTACATATCATTAAGCACCCAAATATCCCTTTGCTCCCAGTGGTACCTAGCAACCATGTAGACCATCTACAGCTTCAACCATATATTCAATCCTCACTTGATGTCATCAGTAGTGACTGATCATTTCAGTGACATTACTGGTTACTTCCAACTAGAACTTGTAGAAATCCACCCTAAGTTAGTTCCTGATCTGTATTATGACTATTAAGTGTCATATGAATAATGGGTATTACCTACGTAGGATCCCGAACTCGCCTCATTCTCTGTTTCTCTGGGGTCTCCTAGCTGATGTCACCACTCAACAAAAGACTTATCTTTAAACTGTAGCACTTCACAATCAAAAAAGTAATCGGTATCCTTCACGATTTGTTTGTTACAATATAACCCTATTTTACTTAGAAATTTCAAACACATCATCAATATGAAACCACGGTAAACGTACTGAAGTGTATGTGCTAATACAAGCAGATATTCTGTTTGCTCCCAAACACTTGAAATTTTGTTAATAGGTAAGTCAATTAGACTGAGAAAAACCTACTAGGTTTATAAAGAAATCTCGAAAGAAGGATAACCTAAATGTGCTAATTTCCTAGTAGTCATAGGTAAAGATTTAGAAACTGTACAAAAAGATTTCTTAATCATATTGGATATTCATCTTTCCAAATCACGTGAATGCAAATGAAACGGTAAATCCAAATATCTGACTGCGTATCATATTCGCTCAACTATTGGTAGTTTTGCAACAAATTTACGTCCAACTACTTACACGTAGTAAAGCAACCTCAAAAAACTTAGAACTGGACAATCATAAAGGTTACTGGTCAATAGTGTTAGCTTTCATTCCAACGACAAATGCTCCCTAATTTGTGGAGCCAGCTTTTTTCTTGCTAACTGAGTCCGTTACTACTCTCTAATCCACCGACTACGTTTATTTAGTTTCACTATACTGAGATGATTCATTGTGCTATGCCATCCTGTCCGGACAGTTCACATTTTAGACCTCATGAATAGAATCACTTTACTTTTTCTAAACATGGAAATATGTTGAATGAGTTAGCAGATGGGGCTTTCATCAGTGAACACCTCTCTAGGTTTACCCTAGTATCCGGAGTTTTTCGGTCATTATTTGTGTTCTCAACCCTCCCGTTACTGTTTTTCACTGGTTCATAATCATATCGGTGACCACTCAATTTTAGTCACATAAATAGCTGGTCTATCATTCCATAGTTTCTGGGATCCCGCAACCTTTCTAATCAGATTAATAGTTCTATTTGTCAACACGCAAGACAATTAAGGTTCTTTAGTCGCAACACTTGGAATCTGCGCATCATATTACCACGGTTTTTCTATTCAACGGGGTTGGTTTATGGTCTAATGTGACCTGTGAATATTTACTTCATCTTTAGACATTTAATTAGTTAGCCTGAAAATTAAATGCAGCAGTAATCCTATAAACGTACCCGAATCGGTTGTTCCAAGGTATTTCAGTGGTTCTCCTAACTGATCGTTTTCGAAACACTAGACTATGATGCGGGAAATAGTAGCTCTGACAAACTAACTACTTAATAAACATTAAAGTAGTATTAGTAGGAACAAGTATTGTTTCGATCTGGCTCGGAAGTGTACTTAAAATGTTGCGTGTCAGATAAGAAATTCTATTACACACAAGCCAGCCCGAAAAACATGGACTTCCAGTTTGCAAACGCCTGGATACATGTGTGTAAGGAGACTAAGAAATTATCCACGAACAGTTTGGAAAAAGTTATATCCATATCAGCGGTCCTACGGAGGTAAGGTACAAACGTCACATTCGGTACATGCTTCGATTAAGGAACCAACTATGCAACTATGAACCGCGTGGAAATCGCAGACAACGCCGTATTCTCATTTCACCGTGGCATTAGATAATTAATGTCACATATTTGGGTACAAAAAGATTCGAAGACAACTAACCCAAGCAGTATGACACATTATACCCTAGTCACAAATGCTAAACCTATCCTATACAGCTAAGGTTTGCGATTTACACAAACATCGGAAAACAATCCTCGGCTTTGAGCAAAAACAGTTGTCCGCATCACATTATCCTTTAACCTAGTTAAACTGAAACTATAAAATGAAACCCGAACTCCGATTAGTCGCCCAACCCAATCACTAATCCACACGACACGGGTGACAATTACATAGCGCATATGGGAGAAATTAAAGGTAATCACACATTAATAAGAGATGGACCCAATTCAGATAACGGAACATAAGGTTGGATCTTGCAATTCCATGAATGTTTCAAAATCCCTGACACAGCATTTTCTCATTTGTGTTAAACAGATAAATTACACATAGTGCGAATTGCTATAGAGTAAACAACCAATTATCCTCAAGAGTCAGAAACCCCAACCACCTGCTACTACATAAAAGTACACGGTATGAGATTCTGAATTTATTTATTACAAACGAACATTAAAAACATTTACGATGGACGATACCTTGGCCAGATTCGTCATACTCTTGTTTGGAAATCCACATCTGTTGGAATGTCGACAACGAAGCCAAAATAGAACCACCAATCCATACAGAGTACTTCCGTTCAGGTGGTGCAATTATCTTGATCTTCATAGTGCTAGGAGCAAGAGCACCAATCTCTTTCTGCATACGATCCGCAATACCAGGATACATCGTACTTCCACCTGACAGAACAGTGTTCGAATACAGATCTTTACGGATATCCACATCACATTTCATGATGGAATTGTAAGTTGTCTCATGTATTCCTGATGCTTCCATTCCCAAGAAGCTAGGTTGGAAAAGAGCTTCTGGACATCTGAATCGCTCATTACCAATAGTGATAACTTGACCATCAGGAAGTTCATAACTCTTCTCCAAAGCAGAACTAGAAGCTGCAGTACCCATCTCCTGTACGAAATCCAAAGCAACGTAACAAAGCTTCTCTTTTATATCTCGGACAATTTCACGTTCTAAAAACTGTAGTAGTAGTAGTAAAACTATAACCTCTCTCAGTCAGCATCTTTATCATATAGTCAGTAAGATATCGGCCGGCAAGGTCCAGACGTAAAATAGCATGAGGCAATGCATAACCCTCATAGATTGGAACTGTATGGGTCACACCATCACCGGAGTCCAACACTATACCAGTTGTACGACCAGATGCATACAGTGACAACACCGCCTGAATAGCAACATACATAGCTGGAGCATTGAAAGTCTCAAACATGATCTGCGTCATCTTCTCACGATTCGCTTTCGGGTTCAATGGAGCTTCGGTCAACAATACTGGGTGTTCTTCTGGAGCTACACGCAATTCATTGTAGAATGTGTGGTGCCATATCTTCTCCATATCATCCCAGTTAGTCACTATACCGTGCTCAATCGGACGCTTCAGTGTCAGGATACAACGATTCGACTGAGCCTCATCTCCCACATAACTGTCTTTCTGACCCACCATCATTCCTTGACGTCTAGGTCTCCCGACAATTGAAGGGAACACAGCTCTGGGAGCGTCATCTCCAGCGAAGCCAGCTTTGCACGTATCAGATCCGTTGTCGATGACAAGGGCGGCAATATCATCCTCAGCCATTTCTCTGATTAACAATACGCTCGACCATATACCATAAACGGCTAACTAAGACATTCAATAAATCAGCCAATCAGTAGACAGTCCGCTCAATCACATTTTTTAACACTTACCAATATTAAACTCATTAGTCGTTCTGCCCAGATAATATTCATTGGTCGCCTACATTTTTGATCAATTATCTAGACTTCCTTTTATAGACTTGAATTCTGTCTGTCTACCCCGTACAAGAGCAGATATCTTGATCTTACGGCAGAAAGAGATGCTATGAGAATTGAGACCACGAAAATTAGATATCTGACATACGTAATTTATGATTGGCTAAAAATCTAAACTACCTTGTCTGTACGCAAGACGTTGCTAAAATTGGCTGTGTGTTGATTACAGAGTGGTAGTTGGTCTACTTCGTTAGTAGTACATTGTGTTTAGTCTTATGGTTGTATATACGTGTAGAAATGACTTGGAAGGTTAACGCATTCATCTTAACGTCATTGTAGGGAAGAGACATCAATATTTAGGTTGAACATTTATTTAACAGAATACAGCGTTAAACAAACTGATAAAAAAATGTTGAGATTACACTTCATCTAACATGAACCATAGATGAATTGATACAAAATTTGTAGAATTCACAGCTTTTTTCTAAACACAACATTGTAAAATCTTTGCACACAAAACTACCATAGACAATTCAAAACCTCAAATTTGTAATTCAAATAGTTATAAAACCATCTAGAAATGGGGGACGTTAATTTTATTCCAATCTGATGTTTAAGCCGTCGTTTCAAAGTGTAAAATATTTAAAAGGGGAAGTTAATCTTGAAGTAGATTGAACGCCTAAACAAAATCATCTACAGCTATCACCATGTCTCGTCGATAAATTCACTTCCAGAAGAATATTCGAGTACTTATTGTCTGTGATCTTATCCCCTTATTTTTACTGGCTAACTGAAATCAGTGTTCTCAATGCATCAAAATTCTTGAAAATAAGTTGATTCAGCTTATGTGGACACCCTGCTCCTTGTCTGATAAACATTTGTTTCGAGAGAAATTAACACTATACCAGTAACAGTTCAACTGATATTGAACTTTAACCGAACAATCTCATTGAATTATTAATCGACAAAACATCTAAGCATTCTCACTCGGTTAGGTGATAGCATCGGATATCTGTCAACGCATCATTCAATGTGCTCTGTCTACACATCCATTCATCAACCAACTACATTTGAGATTCGAAGCCAAAACAGTAATTCCCCCTTTCTACTAATATCTACTATCAGCCAATAACATCGGACAATTCATAGTGACAACTTCGATTAAGCCCTCAGAAATAACTTGTACTGATTCATAATGATGTCCATTTGATTCGTGACATGGTCACTGAACATAAATAGTATCATAATAATCTAATTTCATATCAGACATTTCATTTTCGATGAAATACTTGGAAAAATAATGTTAATTACTTATATAATTCCAATTCATATAACTGATTACTTGTATCAAACAATTACTGATGCATACTATTGAGTAGTGTGAATCCATGTAGCCTGTAAACACGAAATTTTCCGTTAATGTATCTGTAGTGGTAAATAATTATAATGGATACACCATAGCTAAAGGCGATCGATCACTCATCCTCGTCAGATCACTTGTAGGTACGCTCGGTGATACATCCGATCATAACAATGAGACAACATGGATACAAAAGGCTCGATTGGCTTTTGCCAATCTACATCGTTTATAGCGTAGGCGAGATATCCGTTCGCTAACCAAAGGTCGAGTGTACTGTACAGCAGTTCGCTCCGTCTTACTGTATGGATGTGAAACATGGGTGGTAAAAGTTGGCGGTATTCTTAGGTTACTGGTTTACGATCACCGGTGTCTTTGAAGAATTGTTCGTTTACCTTGGGACAATCGAGTAACCAATGCTGTTTTTAGCAAACCAGTACTAGGTAGGGACGGTAGATCAATAGATAAAGTATTGAAAATTCGTCAGTTGATGTGGTTGGGACACGTGTTATGTATGCCTAACCACCGACTGCCTCGACGAGCGACGTTTTGTGTTTTAGGAGTAGGTTGGAAGAAAGTTAGGGGTGGCCAAACGATAACATGGAACAAATCCATGAAGTCACTGACAAGTGGACTGAGTCATGTTGGTAGGTGTCGACTACCTGTTTTGGGCCGGCGAGACGATAGTAACCGATGGTTAGAGACCTTGAACGACATGGTTCGAAATCGCTTGCAATGGCGCAGGTGCATCCACTCGTTTTGTTCTGTGGAATTATGATCTGAACTGATCTTCGCCTCTACCTTTCTCTTCTTGAACTCATCTCACTGTATCATACTTCTTGAATATCTTGGAGCTCTAATCTTCTCCATTACTAGTAATACTTTTACTATCTCTACCACTATTGGTTTCGAACTGAAAATTGCGTCTCTCTGCTATTGTGGTATGGCAACGTGATCTGATGTACTTACGTTCGATGTTCTATGTTGTAACTGACTGGCTAACTTATATAACTCACTACTATCAAATGTAACTTCGATCTCTTTTGTTCATGACCTCCGGTTGGACTGGATTTCGGTATTCTCGATTAGAAAGTTATTTTCGGCAAAAGCATTGCCAAGCTCTGAATGTCCGTGATACCTTCATATCTACGTCTATATGAATCAATAAAGTATGAATTGAAATGCTTCGTTCTGATTGTTATTAGCTAATAATTAAAAAATCAATGGAGCATTTCGGTGTTGCATCTGGATGACAACATGCTATGTATCTTATTATGATAATCTGAACAAAATAAGTAAATAATTCTATAGCCTTACTGATATTTCATGCTTTCTAATTCTGTGTCAATGATAGCTGAATCCTACTGTTGCGTTATCATTTCTAATTGACTACACCACCAAATTTATGCAAAAATCTTGAAAATATCATTCTCCATAGGGGAAATCTCTGTCCATATCATTCAGTATCATACTGAAAGACATGACCATTCCTCTGTTTGGTTGACTGTCTTTAAATATTTGTTTGATTACTGACTTCATCAATCAATAATATTTATCATTGAATTGTATAAATAAAATAGCAGTTCATATTGCATAATTATACTTCAACACAAAGTTACGTAATCACTTCAGTAAATTGATTTAAAATTATCATTCATGTTGGTTAATTTTAGGCTGTTTAGTATATTCATTATGATAATACGTCAATAAATGATTACTTTTTAATTATTCATAAGCTCATTTTATATTAGTGCAAAATAGAGTAATAATCTAATTTACATATTCTTGTTGTTTTAGCTTGTGAATTTATCAGAATATTCTTCTTACTACATAAAACTTCTTAAAAGTAAATTCACAGATTAATTGAACTTGTAAAGGATTATGCGAATCTGCGGAGATTAGTATTTCAAATTAGAATCACAATTAGGCAGATCAGATTGTTTCAGTTCATGGATGATAGTTTTAATAAACTTATCTTTAATGTTGATTGAATTCAATAAAAGGTTACAATCCATTGACTTTATCGATTTTTCAATCCAATGAATTGAATTATTCATGCCGACTGAAAATGGTATGGAATTCCGAAACAAGAAGCATGCATATGTGTCTAGTTTGTAGTGGAACGCTTCTACGAAGAAAATATGATTTGTGAAAAATAAACATTATTGTACTCGTTTTGTCTAACTGCGCACAACGTCGTTTTCGCGTTGCTGCCATTTTTTCTAAATGCCCTGTTCTCGATGTAATGCCTACTGTCTCCTTCAATAAAATCTTGGTACATGGATTTATTTTGATTTTAAATGACGTCGGGATATTATGGAACATTTAGTGGTGATCATAGTCAATCTGGTATCTTGACTCGCTCACTAAAAAAGTTCTCATTCATTCTACATTCCTCATCAGTTAATTTCAGTTCATAACGAAAATTTCTTCGAAAACATTTCATACAAATATATGAAATAGTCTTATGAAAAAATAAACTAAGTACACTTTATTCAAGTAATTTGATGAGATTCATCTGATCTGCAGATATTTTTTCGTTCTAGGTAGGCAGATATCGCATCAAGAATCGCTTAAATATCATGAACACTGAGCAGCTGTTTTGTCCTAGTTTATGTTTCCTTAATAGCATCCTGAAACTTCAGTTAGTCTAAAAGTGATGAGATAATGAATTACTAACCACAAACTCTAAATCATTGATGTGCAGGTAATGAGCGTTTAGCAGAGACCAGTCAGTCACGAGAGACGCAAAACCTGGCATCAATGAACATTGGTCTAAGTTGCCACATCCCACTGTAATAGCGAGATGAAACTGTCAGCGCAAATAGCAGAGAAGTAGTGATTAAAAAATTATAGGTAGAGGATACTACTCGATAATAAAATATGTATTAGCAGGATCAAATAAAAGAAGTTTATGATATGATTCGGATTATTAGGATCTACAGGACGATAAAAAGTTAATATACATGCACCAGTGCTAATAATCTTGAGTCATGCCACCCAAAGTCCTCCGTCAATAATTACATCAATCACGCGCACCCCAACCACATGGTGGACATGCATTAACATGGCTCAGTCAAGTTATCGATAACTTCATGTACTGGTACCATACTTTGGTTTGACCGTTTCTAACTTTCTTCCAGCCTATCTCTAGACCAGACATCGCTCGTCCAGGCAGACGGTAGTTGGGAATGCATAGCGCGTGTCTCACACACCCCACCCAATGAAAATCCTCTACTTCATTAGTTGACTTGCCATCCTTACCTACTACCCCTTTCCTGACACCAGCAATGTTTATTCGATAGCTCCAGGATATACGATACATCTATGATCAAATACTAGTAAGCTATGATTATCCTCGCTTCTTATCAACCATATCTCTGACCCATGAAGTAGGATGGAATGAACCGCTGTGCAGTAAATTCGTCCTTTGGTTAGTAGATGGACACCTCGCCTTGGCTATAAGTGACGCAAGTTAATAAAAGACA